GTTTTTTTTTTTTTTTTTTTTTTTTTTTTTTTTTGCGGATCTCTTGGATCTCTCTGGAGACGAACACGAGACTTCATTTGCGAACTTAGGCATAGCGAAGCGAGGCAAAGCACTACTGTGCCCCCGATACTGCCACTTTTGGACCCCACCTTGGCAAGCTAATCGGCCCAGGAGGCGGTTTCGTTCATTTAGCGAGGCGGCGCCAAGGATTTCGGCGGTAGGCAGTAGAAACTGCCAAAGTTACATAGCTTAACTTCACAGTAAGCTCCTCAATAACGAGCGTGAGCCTAATAGGAAACCATAGATAAACAACAATACACAGGGCTTATGTTAACTCAGCTTGGGCTGGCTTAAGGATTGCCTACATCTGTAGAGAGATTTTCGCTGGCATGAGTGGAAAGTTTTCGAGAGAAAAGTTTATTTAACATTACAATGTCTCAGCCAAGACCGAGGCTGAATTAGAGCAGAACCTAGTTTGTATGTATCCAAATCTCGTACATTAGCTTCTAGCTACATATCGTGGTTCGGCAACTAGGCGATGAAATGGGCTTCTTGAGCAAGGACTAGACTAGGTCTTAGGAGACAAAGGTACTTCTAAATGCCTCAGCAACAATCCCTGCTCCGCTGAAATCCGACCGTAACGTCCTAGAATTCAAATTTTTATGGTATCAGTTGTAATTATTGCAGGCAAGGCCTTTTTCAAGTATAGTGGCTTCGGAATCTACGCCTACCACAAAATACATGGGTATGAACGTTGCCCCCCCCCCCAAATTTCCAATTCTTAAAGTCTTACCATCAATCATAGCAAGTCAGCCTTGGCTCTGCTGAGGTTGATTCTTGCGTAAAGACTTTTCTTCGGAATCATCGCTCCTCCTTCTGCCAGAAGACTGCATAGTGAACACTGGAAATGCGGTCTCCAACCCTATGGGCGTTGACCCTATTTTGCTGGCTTGCCGTGGGATCTACTTCGTCTGCACTGGTTTCCCACAAGTCTTCTTCCGTACATTCTGCAGGAGCAACAGAGTCGCCACAGGCAAAACCGACAACATGGCAGATGACCCCTCAGCTTGCTCACAACTCATCCAAGGCACTCCTGCCGCTCTTCCGGCCTTACTCCCCCGACACCCCGGCATTCAAGAATCAAAGGCTTCTCAAAGATCTCGCTGGCAAGCCTAAATCATCTGTCCACAAGACTTCGAATAGTGATCGTGGCCTTCTTTCAAAACGAGACTCCCTCCCCACTGGAACATGTGCCCCGGGCACACCATGTGTCAACGGTGCCTGCTGCAGCAACACCGGTGTATGCTCGTTCTCTCCGTCTAGCTGTGCAGCAGACGTTTGTATATCCAATTGCAACGCTACCGCCCCCTGCGGTGAATATGCGAAGTCAGGCGAGGGGAACTGTCCTTTGAACGTTTGCTGTTCCCAGTTTGGCTTCTGCGGTACCACTTCCGACTTCTGTGGCACGGGCTGCCAGGGCGGATATGGTTCATGTGGAGATGTCGATAGGCCATCTTGCTCCGGTACCTCAGCAGAAAACGGTCGGCGCATTGGCTACTATGAAAGCTGGGCTGACGATTCGAGCTCCCGCCTATGCGATCGGAGATCACCAGACGAGATCCCGCTGGTCGGTCTAACGCATCTCAATTTTGCGTTCACCTTTTTCGACCCGACGACGTTTGAAATCTCACCTATGACTTCTGCGGCTGCAGGACTTTATAAGAGTTTCACTGGCCTCAAGAAAAAGAGCCCAGGTCTTGAGACTTGGATTTCAATTGGTGGCTGGACATTCAACGACGAGGGCAATACCCCGAACACTCGTACGGCTTTCAGTGACATGGCTAGCAGCTCCGCAAATAGGCGCAAGTTTATTGAGGCCCTACAGAACTTTATGCAATCTTATGGTTTTGACGGTATCGATATTGACTGGGAGTATCCTGCTGCCGATGATCGTGGAGGCTCAGCTGCCGACACAGACAACTTTGTGAAGCTCGTGAAAGAGATGCGATCAAGCTGGGGTACTTCGTACGGCATCAGTGTAACCCTGCCATCTTCCTACTGGTACTTGCAAGGTTTCGACCTTGCTGCAATGGCAAGACACCTTGACTGGTTCAATTTCATGAGTTATGATATCCATGGCGTCTGGGATTCCACGAATGAGTACACTGGTCCCTACATTCGTCCTCATACCAACCTTACTGAGATTACGGAAGGCCTCGACCTAATGTGGATGGCTGGTGTCGAGCCAAGCAAGGTGGTTTTAGGCCTTGGCTGGTACGGTAGATCGTTCACTCTCGTCGATCCATCGTGTTCTGAGCCTAATGGAGTGTGCAAATTCAGTGGAGGTGGCAACCCTGGTTCATGTACCAACTCCGCCGGCACTCTGTCAATCGCGGAAATCAAGAAGATTCAAGCTTCCGGGATCGCTACTGAGAGCTACGACTCTACGGCAGCGGTGAAATGGATTACTTGGAACAGCGACCAGTGGGTGAGCTTCGACGACGGTGTGACCATGATGCAAAAGATGAGCGCCGCAAATAAGCTTTGCCTTGGTGGTATCATGATTTGGGCAATGGACATGGACAACGATAACGGAGACGCCATGAGCGACCTCATGGGCATTGGTAAAGCCAATGGTGTTACTTCCGCCCAAGCGGCCAGTTACAAGGAGCAGTATGAAAGTGCCGCCGAACAGAATGCTGTCGCGTCATCTTGCTACTGGAGTTTATGTGGGGAGTCCTGTAAAAATTCATATTTCGACGTGACAGAAGCTAGAGGGCAAGTCGCGAACGTCCAGCAAAATTCCGTCTGCCCAGCGGGTGAATACAAACACTGTGCTGCGCTCCTCAAACGACCATGGGAACGTGCAAGTGGGAGGGATTCCGTGGTGTAGGTTTACCATGCACTCCTGTCTGTGAGGACCCCGACGGAGTTATCGTGGCGCAGAATAGTAACTCCTATTCCATGGACGAGGATGGACATACGGCAGACCTGACCTGCACAGGTGGCTACCAGGCATATTGCTGCTCCGGATTTGTTGCTTCTTCGAAGACCAACACAGGAAACATGTTCCTGTACGGGCAAGGGATCTTCAGCAAGCGCAGTCTGGATAGTGGAATGAAAGATGTCATTCTTGCCCGGTCCGGAATTACTGAAGTCTTGTCATATACCGCTTGCGCCCTTGCCGTCGCGGCGTTTGTGGCCGAGTCTCCCGTAACGTTCGGGGTTTCGCTTTTGGGAATCTCGGTCGAGCTTTCTATGTGTGCTGCTTCAAGTGTCGCAGTGAGTGCAGGAGGTTTTGCCGTCAAGCCATCAACTCGAAAAGCTAAGGGCAATCCAAACGGACAGCCGGCGGCGAAAAAGATTAACCTCGGTACCGGTAATGGCCAAAAGGCAAATTCAGCCTGGCCACAACTGAGCTACTCATCCAGTAAAGGGGGGCCGTGTGACTGCCAAGTGACATATACATGCAGGTATGGGATGGGCTGGGATGAGGTTTGCGACAATCAGCGATGGGCCATTACCTACCGCCTCAATCAGCAAAGTGTATTCGAACCCAATGCCCTTAGACCGAATGGTCGGAGGTACTTCTCATGGTCCAGAAAGCAGCGGGGTAAAGAATATCGTACCGCCGTTCAGATGCCGCGCGCGCCCGAGGGTGCGAGATGCGAACTTGATGAATTCCCCATGGGAGATCTCTTTGAATCGACCAACAACAATCCTCAAGTCTGTCGATTGGTTAACGGTATCGGCAATAAGAGACAAGGCACTGACTATGGGGTGTGGAAGAGAAGGCAGTGGAGACCGTGCTCATCGTATCGAGTGACTGACTGCAAGCTGCCTCCTCCGTTGGCAACATGGTAAGTCGTGGCTTTCCTTTGGCAACAATTTCCCCACCACCTTGTTATAAGAGAATTTCAAGTATTCTTCCAGCCAGAATGGTCTCTTACCAATGACATACAGGAAATTCGGTTCTCTTCCTGGTAATCGGGGCATTGGCAATATGATAGGAACTCGATTCATCACTGCCCTCGGTTTCGACTCCCAGACTGCAAATTCATTGTGCTTTGCCTCCTACACCTACACTGACAGCAATAACAATGTTCAGAATACAATGGTGGAAGACCATGGGTTCCGGGTCCTCAATGATGATCCGTAGGTTCTTCAAGAAGCTCATTGGGGTTGCAAATGCGTGATATACTAACCTGGCCACTTTGGATACATAGGATGTTCTACGCGCCAATGAACTGGCCTCGACAGAACTGGAAAATCGATCCAGGCCCCGTCTCAAATGCTGCTGAGCGCCCAACCTCAGTCAATAGCGCTGCACACATGCGCCGTGATTTCCCAATTACGGTTGCTATCAACCAGAGTCTTCCCTTTGACAGTGAAGAAGAGGAATCATCCAAGCTCACATGCAACGCCATCTACGACGAAGGTCCCACTCTCCTCACAGAAGACAGTAAGCTCGCGTATGACGTTCTACAGTTTGAGGACTTACTTGGCAATGAAATCGACGGCCGTTCCTGCGACGTGATCTATGCCGATGACGAGGGTGGTTTGGTGCAGCTTGTGGTAAACGAGGATGGCAGCGTGCAGTATAGCAAGAGTTTCCCTGAAATTCCGATTACTAGTGCCGAAGCCCATATGCCTACTGCAGAGGCTCAGATCCCGGGGAGTCCTATGGATGGTAACATCCCTGAGAGTACGTCCGTCAGTTATGATGTGGTGATGAGCCAGGTCACGGCAGCGCCTCACTCTGCCGACCTTGAATACCACCTGCGTCATGGTCATCGTCACCATCATTGAATTTTTTATGATCTGACAGCCGGTCGAAGCATTTTCAAGTACATTATCTATTCTTCTCTCTTTTTCGCGTGAATGTTTTGGAAAAGCTCAAGTAGTTAACATATGGCCCTCTGCGTCGAGTTTCACTGGAGCCTCCACCCTCGCTAGGATGTCCCAAAGATATCACAATCTATCCATTTTCTAGTCTGTCCGTCTGCTATTTAGTGAGACTACCGACCTTTCATTCGTACCATCTGGTCTTTGTCGATGAATCGGGATGGGATAAACGAGTGGGATACCGGCGGACTGGTTGGTCACTACTGGGCGAAGTGGTAACACAAGGCAATATGACATATAAGATACCCAATCTTGATGTCACACCCCAAAGGCCGAAACAGCACCTTTAGGGTGTGCTGAGCGAGTCATCACCGAGATAAATCTCAAGTACAGAATAGAGTGTCTCATGAGGGAACACCTTCATATTCCCATCCTTCAATGACACGTCTCCTGCGCCGGGAATTTCGGCGGTTGGCGTTGCACTTGACAAAGAAAGTCAGGGCTGTAATAATAAGAATAATGATGCCCGCGATTGCCGCGACAAGCACAGTTCTGCGCTCGAGCTGCTGTGGGTCAGAGGCATAGGGACATTTCGCCCCATAGCCACCAGATACCCAGCAGGAAGTAACATCTATTGAGTTGAAGTTTAAAAAGACTTCTCGGAGGGCGGGATTTGTGGAACTCAAGTCGACTTTTGTTTCTGGCAGAGAAAGAAGATGTTTGTAGAGATACGTGTTTTCAAGACCGGTGCGTGGTACAGCAAAGCTTGATCCTGGTGGACAGGTATCCGACACGTTGGAGAAATATTCGGTCGTATTTGATAGGACCCAGGAGAAAGGCGAATTACCGATTCGACAGGCAGCATGCCGCTGCTCAGTGCAGTTCGTGGACCGCCAGTGGCCTCCCAGAGTTAGATCCATTACCGCACAGCGGTCATACTGGGGATCGCCATCGCCGCCACCATATTTTGCATCGTGTGGCTCACCAATTGCCCAAGCCCAGGAAGAAGAGAGGGAGACATTACGGTAATATTCAACTTGCTGGTCTGCAGTCTGACCGAAGAGGGTGGTGTTGAGCATTGGCGAAAGACCACAAGCTGTAATCTCAGAGAGAACAGTTGATAACGAAGCCATCGTCTCATCTGTGGAAAGATCATCAGGGACAGGGAGGCGACTGGACATAGCCCATGATGAGTTGGTTTGAGACACCCGAGTAAGACCAGGCTCATACAGACAGCCTGAAGTGAGAGTGCCATTGGTGGTTGCGGATACCTTCACACTAGAAGTCAGCGTTCCGGGAGGAAAGACCAAATTTTCTCCGGTAGATAGATCGTAATCCACCAGTTGGGAATCGATAGAGCCGTACTCAATGAGTACTCGATCCCGTTTCGCAAGCTGTATGTATTTCGATGATGGCCAGCCATCTGGAGTGCTCTGTTCACCCGCTTCATTTTCATGAACGGTGAAGTACTCCGTGATGGGCATATAGCCCTGCTCGACCTTATACCATGATTCGTTTAAATTGCTTCGGTCCGAGGTAAGTTGAGCCGGGCTATAGATAAAGTTATAAAGGGCGGATCCCAGAATCGAGCCAGCTAGCTCGGTGCCTGATGGCAATTGACCTCCTGATATGGTAGAAGCAGGCTCATCTGGGGTGGAGTCACTTGCGGCGACATGGAGATTGAGAACGAGGTAGGTCGTGTACACAGTCAAACGGGAGTTTGTGTCTCGGAAATAACCAACAAGCACCTCCGCCAATGTGTAGGGATCGAGGTCGTCGGTGCACTTGTATGAGCCTAGCTCATAGAGAGTGTGTCCATGTGAATCATCATTACCGGTGATAGTCGCAGGGTCCGCACTAGCTGTTGCTGTAGTTGTATTGGAGATATCTGAGGATACAGTCACTCCTGATTTGACTGGAAGAGACACTGGGCAGAAAGACCAAGTCCTACGGTTGACAGACCAATATAGATCGACAACAAGACGTCGGTACCCGATTGCGAGGAGGTTGGAGAAACATTTTGCAGCGTCTTCTCCATCATAGATGCGGTTTCCAAAGCAGGCAGCCGACAGTGATACAGCAGGGTTTGTCACATAGTTAAGTGGAATTTGACCAGCGACATCTCGTTCGCTCTGGATTCAGATATTCACATGAGTGTCGGGGCATTAATTGCGACCTGAGACACATACCAGTAGAACAGCCACCCAGGTAGCGTTTAACAGGGTTTCTGCAGAGTCATATTGGACAGACATTGAGCATCAACATGAAAATAGCTCTGAAGCGTATGTTCAGTGCATATTTTCAGCGCGATGTTCTGACGTTGAATGTTAAAAAGGAAGAAGACTAAGCTTGGCTGGGGAAGTCGGGAGGGCGGACAAATCAGCTGAGTCAATCTGGCCACTTCTCTTTCTTTCACAACTTCCTCTCTGCCTTGGATTTCCTTTTCTCTTCTGCTCTTTATTTCCAATTTAATTTCAAAATGGCCACCCCCGGCCAGCCCAGCCCTGAGCAAATGGCGGCCATGCAACAACAGTTCGCCGCCGAAGCCGCTAAACGAGGGATGACGCCCCAGCAGTTCGCCGCACAGCAGCGTGAACAGCTGACTGCCGATGCTGCAAAGCTCGGTCTGACTACTGAACAATATGTTGCGCAGTTGCGCATGCGAGCAATGCAAGCCCACCAGCAGCAACAGAAGATCCAGGCGGAACAACAGGGTCAAGCACCAGATGGACAACAAGCTCCGTCGCCTGCACCCCAGCAGCACCAACACACAACCACACAACAGGTTCCTGTGAACCCCAACAATCCCCCGGACCCAAAGGCAGTGGCAGTGGCCAACTGGCTACGGTCGCAAAACCTCAAGCCACGCACATGTATCATGGACGGACAGCGCAAGGACATGTTCAAGGGTGAGGAACGACCAATATCCAATACATATTGAGGAATCACTATCTAACAGGCCCTTTTTCAATGCAGTCAAGCGCGCAATCCGAGCGATTGAATCCCCTGCCTATGCCAAAGCCGCCTCAAAGAAGAACTCCCTCCTCCCCCCAGTGACCGACCGCGCCTCCGCCGAGAACGTTTTCAAGCTTCTTCCACTTTCCCTCTTGGCTCTCCGAGTGAGCAAGGTTGATCCCCATGAAGGCCACAACCATGCCAAACCCAAGAACCGCACTAAGGGTCTTTGGACCGTGAAGATCGAACAGCACCAGGAGACTGACCCCATGATGCATTATGTTTGGTTGTACGACGGTCCACAGTGGAAGCAAAAGGCCATGGCTGCCGCCGTGGTTGTGGGTATTTTTGCTGTTGTCCTGTTCCCGTTGTGGCCTATGTTTATGCGTCAGGGAGTGTGGTACCTGAGTGTTGGTATGATGGGACTGTTGGGTCTCTTCTTCGCCATGGCTATCTTCCGTTTGATTCTATTCTGCGTCACTGTCTTCACCGTGGCCCCGGGTCTCTGGCTATTCCCTAACCTGTTCGAGGATGTTGGATTCTTCGACAGCTTCAAGCCTCTATGGGGCTGGCAAGAGGTATGCGTCTATTTATTCTCATTTATTCTCATACGGAAATATTAAATCTGACTGTTCAACCCACAGACAAAAAAGAGCAAAAAGTCCAGCAAATCCAAGGCCAAAGCCTCTGCTCCGGCCCCAGTCGCCGCAGCTGCTCCCTCAGCTGCTCCTTCAGCAAACGCCCCCTCGGCGACCACAACCTCCGCCGAGCCCACTGCTACCCAGTCCGCAGTCGCAGCGCGACGAGGTCTGAGCGCAAGTGTGGAAGAGGTGGAGGAGTAGTGCTGCTTATTCTGAACGATATTCAAAGCCGATAGATCAAAATTGGTCGCACGCGGTCTAACGCGGGTGTTGATCTCGAATCATCCATGATATTTGTATTTTCAAGATCCTTCTTCCATGTTCATTCCGGCGTTTTGGGCCTTGCTCCTGCGAATTCATATCATCGGGAAAGTCTTTCATTGCACAACTTCTCTTTGGGTAGCATGTACCATCAAATCGAAGTAGGATTCCAGTATGCGAGAAGGAAATTTGGTAATGTACAGGCTCGGTGCTCTGCCCTATGCTCAATGTAAACCCACCTGGGCATGCTCCGTGGCTTATATGATCCCCCATAGAAGATAGAAGACAGGAAATACTGAGTCCAGAAGAGAGAAGATATATGCTTTTAATGCGAAAAAAAAATGAAGAGAATAGAATGAAACGGGGTATATACAAGAACAAATGCCAATAGAAACACAATCGAAGCGAAGAGAAATGATGAGGATAGTATGGACGGAAAAGGAACTGATATATGCACGCGAGGGTTTGTATTACCGATGTGGGCAATAAGAGAATGGATATGATAGCTCTCAGATATACAATGGATGCAAAAGGGGTATTTGATGCTGAGTGAGGCCGAGGCGCAAATGCCAGATACTAAAGACAGATGCCAGAAAGGAAAGAGGGTATAGGAAATGCATCTCAAGGTATTGTCGTGACAAGGAGATCGTAGGGAAAGTCAAGGTCGAGGATGTGAGGATGCATTAGGAGTAGCGGTGTTACAGGGAGGTGGGCGTCATAGATGTGAATTTGAGCCACAGCATGGGAGGGAGGAACTAGACCAGGGGACTTTTGATCAGTTTGGAATGTCGAGCACTTCGTGGGCCATTGCTTGGTAGGTCAATGATTGCAGGATCGGTACCGCTCTTCCGATCTTCGACGTGATCCCGCACTGGCTGGGATCCATAGAACCGTTGCGCTGGAGACGTTGCAGACCAGGGGGATAGAATCTGTGGCGCGGTCGTGCCGGTGGGAGTAACAGGAGTAGTAGTATTGGCGGAAGGAGAGGGGGGCGAGGGAAGCTCAGGGAGTGGGCAATTGGGGGGTGGTGCAGACGGAGGCCCCATTGTTAAACCCAGACCAGGCATGCTCTTGCGACGCAACATGCTCGGACCAGCTTGGTTGTTTGGGTACATAGTGGAGACTCTCTTGCGCGGTATTGGATCTGCCGGTGGAGAAACAGGTTGGACCTGATTTGCATTGGTACATTTTCGGCTCGTGCTAAGGCGGCCGATCAGGCTGACTGGACGGGACGATGCCCTAGGATCAGGTAGAGGGCCCGTAGGAGGCGCTGTTGTGGGCGCTCGGGAGAAATTTCGGGTATTCTGTGCTGAACGGACGGTCTTGGTCAGGGCATCCTCTGAATTCGAGGGTCGTAGTATGCGCTTAGGCTCCGATGAATCTGTGTACCGCGAACTAGCGACGCTGAATGTCGGAGAATGTGGAGGAGATGCAAATGTGGATATATTTGAGTCTGTATCGGCGCGGCGTGAAAAGCCGTTGGTTGATGAAGGAGGAGAGGCATGAGAAACGGGGATCGGCCCAGATCTCGGAACGAATTTCTTGCTAAACGAGGGAACACTGAAATTAGGCGCTGGAGGTGAAGCACTGCGGATGAGAGCTTCGGGAATAGGTGGTGGGTGATTCGCCTGTGGCTCCTCTGTGAAGTCGGTAATGGGGGGAGGCTGAGGTGGCAGGGGCATATATAAGGATTTTCTTTTCCCATGGCTAGAAGCGGGCGGGCTGCGTGTGTACGTGCGGTCAAGGTCTTCCGGCAGATGCTCATCAGACCTGAAAGTGCCGGTGCCTATTGGCGGCGAGTTGGGTATATTCGAAGTGAATGACGAAGAACGAATGTCAGACCCGATGGAAGCAGAGCCATTGGTAGGATTTGTGGCCTCGGTTCGGCCAGTCGACACTGATCCAGATCGAGATTCAATTATTGAGCGACGATTAACCGACACGTACGAACTGCGGCGAGATTGCCATGTCGCACCACCGACAGACTGACCATCGTCCTCCTCAGTGGGCGATTGGAGGGTCTGCGGTTGAAGGAAAAGACTGGAAATGCGATGTGGATCTTTCTTTACCATTTGTCGAACGCTCATTTTGGGCTGCAGCTGAGGCATCGTGTCTTCATCCGAGTGCTTCTCTTGTGTGAATTTGCGTCCTCCCCGTTTTTCGATCTCAGCTCTAACGGCCACCAACCAGCCTATCATATCATCGGGGTTGTCGAACACCAGAAGAAAGTTGCGCGAAAACCGCCGGGTATTAGACTTATGGAAGCCCAAGCGCGAGAATCGAGGCTTGGGGGGTTCCCGTATGGCGGAATCATCAGCTGTCGGGTTGTGAGAGACCTGGACTACCCAATGTTTCCCGGGAATAGCATCACTAGCGAATGCGACAGACTTGGGCCCTAGCAGCAGCATCCTCTCCGGAAGACGGTCGTGCTTCCCTTCACCTGCATATTGGAGAATGTAACCAGTAGTTGCCAGGACATATATCTTCTGAGTCCAATCCTCCTTGTTGATGGTACCTGATAGCGTCCGGAGATGCTTCCTTTGCTTTTGTTCCCGCTTTTTACGAGCGGCATCAGCGGCCTCATCCTGCTCTAACGGATTGGCAGGGTTGTCGTCGGTAGAGCTCCTTGCGGTCGTAGCGTGCAGACGCAATATGGAATCCGCAGAGAGAGCCGGCGCCGGCAGGCAGTCATGCTTGGTGGATTGGGGATAGGCCTGGAACAATGGGGGAGGCTTCCAGCCATACTGTTCCTGGTTCGCATGTTTGGGGTCGGGTTTCGGACGGGAGGACTTCAACGTTACGCGCGATCGTTCTGTCGGAGAGGTAATTGTTGGAGAGGTAATAGTCGGGGAGGTAATGGTGGGATTGGAGTCTATAGTTCGGGGGCTCATGATAGAGGGCGACAGGGGGGTCTCCGAGAAAATAGCGGATTGAGGTTCCGGCTTCGTCTCTATAATCTCCTCCAATTTGGGGTCGGCACGTGAAGACTTATGACCAAAGAGACTGCGCAGACTCGTTTTGGAAGATCTTTGTTTAACGGGGCCATGGAGCGGAACGGGACCTTCTGATCCATTGATACTGGGGTACTCGGTTGGCCGAGGGCGTTGTACCCGTTTTTGAGCAGCCGGTCGACTGAAATCGGTCTTTAAGGGCGCAAGTCGACGACCTCTGCGTTCGCCAATTGATGGCTGATCCGGATTCATTGTTGAGGAGCGTGCTCAAGACAGTCTCACACAGTTCCACACAGTTCCAGACAATTCACGACTTCAGGCCTTCAGGACGTTGAGCGCATTGGAGAAAAAGGAGCGATGAGCTGTAATATAGGCAATGATCATCGGAAGGGAACGTGGGAACGGACTGATTCGACGTCATGGCATGTCCGACAGGA